GGGGTAGGAGGCGAGTTCAGTCCTCGTTCATGGCTGTCATGGAGTGTGGACGATGGGAGAGTGGGATGGAGTCGTTTGTGGGGGCATAATTTCGGCCTGTGGGGTCCCTCCGTGTCCACAATCGATGAGGGGAGGCGAGACGAAGGGCGGTGGCGCATTGGATGCACGGCCGCGTTGCCCGCGACCCTTCGCCTTTCGTCTCGCCCGCCGCGATGACATTGCGTTTTTCTTGTCTTTTGGTGGAGCTTGGAAATGACCCTCGGCTAGCCTTCGCGCTGCGTCTGTGCTGCCGTCCACCCCTCGTGACACGTGTTCATAAGGACGCGGGCGTTCTGCGCAAATGCATGACAGCACTCTCTCTCTCTCTACCTCAGGCAGTCCCCGCCGCCCGCCGCGCTTGTTATGCTTTTGGTCGCAGTCGTCTGCGCCACTCGAGTCGCCTCCGTAGCGTGCATCCGCGCCTTCGTCGCCATCGTCGCCATCGAGCCTTTTTGTTCAACATCGCCGCCGTCATCACCATCGTCGCCGCGTCCGTCGCCAACGTAGTTCTCTTCACTGCTTGCGTCTTCTTTGCAATCGTCTTCGGCGACATTCTCCTCGGCGAGCACGTCTTTTCGTTCGGAGTCTTCACTGCCATCGTCGCCTTTCCATAGATCCTCGCCTTCGTCGTCCAGATTGTCATCGTCACCGCGGGTGCGTCTTGCGCCATGTCCTCACGCGCTTCCGCACGCGGCAAGGCCGCCGCCAACCTCTCACAACAACCGGCGACCCGGGAGAAGAAGGGCCGCCACATGGCCAACAAGAAGAGGAAGATCCTCGAAGGCGCCCCGACACATGGAGGTTCGTGTTGGATGAAGAGTGGGTGCCTGAGGACGTGGCGACGCAGGAGGGGACGGATTTCAAAGACTCTGACGACATGCCGTTGCAGCGGAATTCGTCCGGGCGGGGGAGTGGCGGCATCCGCATAGACGACGCTGGCGAAAGACGACGCGCAGAAGGGCGGCCAACACCGGAAGACGTCGTCGACGTTGACGCCGCGACGACAGCCAGAGAGGGCGGGGGAAATCGCGTGCCACTGCCACGTATGACTCCACCAACCGACGAGCAAGAGGGCGTGGTTCGCTTACGGACACCGTTGACACCACGCTCGAGGACGGCTGCGGACGTGGCCTTGTCGGGGGGGCCATCACAGGCGGCGGGAGGGGTGAGGGCAGGCGGGGCAGCGGG